TAATAGTCCTGAAGAATAGGGCATACTTCCAGATTCTCGCTAGAGCAAGAGGATCTCGCCCAAGCGAGAGGATCAGTGTTTTGAATTTAGAAATTCTGGGAGTCTCGCCCAAGCGACAGGAATGGGTCACTTGAGCGATAGAAAGACTGAGCAAGCTGTGAGATTCTCGCTTGAGCGAGAGAATCTCGCCCAGGCGAGAGAGCCTGTGTCTGGAACATTAAATTACTGTGGTGAGCCGCTTGACATCACCACCCAAATACGGTTTTACTCTTTGCCCATTGACTATCCAACTTCGCTGAGAAGCTGGATCTTGTAGCTCGACCGCTCCATGTGATTTCACTTCCTTGATCAGGAAGGGTCCTGACCATTTGGATTTCAACTTTCCCGGAAACAGTTTCATCCGAGAGTTGAACAGTAGCACACTTTGACCCATTCGGAAATCCTTTTTGCGGATTTTCCGGTCATGATACATCTTGACCTTCTCCTTGTACAACTTAGAGGACTCATACGCAGTGAGTCTCATCTCCTCCAATTGTTGTAGCTGCACTTTTCTATGGTCACCTGATGCTTTTGGGTCCAGATTGAAGAATTTGAGTGCCCAATATGCTTTGTGTTCGAGTTCCACTGGCAGATGACATTCTTTTCCATAAACGAGCTGAAATGGGGATAGTCCAGTAGGGGCTTTGAAAGCTGTTCTATATGCCCATAATGCATCATCTAATGGAAGAGACCAATCCTTTCTTGTGGTTGACACCGTTTTCTCCAGGATTTTCTTGATCTCTCTGTTAAATACCTCCGCTTGACCATTTGTCTGCGGATGATAAGGGGATGCAACTTTGTGTCGGTCTCCGTAGTGTTGAAGGACCTTCTCCAATTGTGAGTTGCAAAAGTGTGAGCCTCCATCACTGATCAGAACCCGAGGTGTGCCAAACCGGCTGAATATGTTTCTCTTTAGGAATTTAACCACGGTTTTAGCATCATCCTTTTGGGTAGCTATAGCTTCTACCCACTTAGACACATAGTCCACCGCCACTAGAATATATATTTGAGAGTATGATGGTGGAAATGGTCCCACAAAATCTATTCCCCAGCAATCAAACACTTCCACTTCTGGCATATTGGTTAAGGGCATTTCATTCCTCTTGGAGATTCCACCTGATCTTTGGCAATTATCACATTGTTGTGAAAACTGATGTGCATCCCGTAACACCGAAGGCCAGTAAAAGCCAGATTGTAGGACTTTTGCACCTATCCTTTCTCCATTAAAATGTCCTCCGTATGGCGAACTGTGACAATGCCATAGGATACTTTTGGCTTCTTCTGTCGATACACACCTCCTCAATAGTCCATCTGACCCAGTCTTAAAAAGATGAGGGTCATCCCATACAAATTGACGGGACTCTCGCAAGAACTTTCTCTTTTGGTGCCACGTGAACTCCTCAGGAATTACCCCTGCAGCTTTAAAATTAGCCATGTCAGCAAACCATGGCCTTTCTTGAACGATGAGAAGCTTCTCATCAGGGAACTCCTCCACCACCTCTGATTCCCTCACCGTTACTTCTTGATTGACCAACCTTGAAAGATGATCTGCTACAACGTTTTCACTTCCTTTTTTGTCCTTGATCACCAAGTCAAATTCCTACAATAACGATACCCATCGCAACAATCTCGGTTTGGAATCCGATTTGGTTAGCAGATATTTAATGGCAGCATGATCAGTGAAAATAATGACTTTTGAGCCGATCAAGTAGGATCTAAATTTTTCCAATGCATACACTATGGCTAGTAATTCTTTTTCTGTTGTGGCATAATTGATTTGTGCCTCATTCAATACCTTACTAGCGTAGTGTATAGCATGGAAAACTTTAGCCTTTCTTTGTCCTAGTACCGCCCCGACGGCATAATCACTAGCATCACACATAAGTTCAAAATCAAGATGCCAGTCGGGTGCTACTATAACAGGAGCATAAATTAATTTTTGCTTTAAAGTTTCAAAAGAAGTTGCACACTCAGCAGTAAAATTAAATACAATATCTTTGTTGAGAAGATTATTGAGTGGCTTTGCAATTTTGGAAAAGTCTTTTATAAACCTCCTATAGAAACCTGCATGCCCAAGGAAACTTCGAATTCCCTTGACATTGAGCGGTGGTGGGAGTTCCTTGATTACCTCAATCTTAGCTTTGTCAACTTCAATACCTCGGGAGGAGATCTTGTGACCCAAGCCCACTCCTTCAGTCACCATGAAGTGACACTTTTCCCAATTTAAAACCAGATTTGTTGTGACACATCGCTGCAGCACTATATCCAAATTCTCCAAACAGCTGCTGAATGACGACCCAAAAACCGAGAAGTCATCCATGAAAACCTCAATACATCTTTCTATTAGATTAGAAAAAATAGCTAATATACACCGTTGGAATGTTGCTGGTGCGTTGCACAGTCCAAATGGCATCTTTCTGTATGCAAAGACACCAAAAGGACATGTGAAAGTTGTTTTCTCCTGATCATGGGGATCTACAGTAATCTGGTTGTAACTAGAGTATCCATCTAGAAAGCAGTAGAATGCTTGTCTAGCCAATCTTTCAATCATTTGATCCATGAATGGCAGAGGAAAGTGGTCTTTCCTAGTGGCCTGGTTCAACATCCGGTAATCAATACACATGCGCCAACCAGTGACTGTTCTAGTTGGAATCAACTCATCATTTTCATTCTTGACCACAGTCATGCCGCCCTTCTTTGGAACCACATGAACCGGACTCACCCAAGTACTATCAGATATGGGATAAATCATCCTACCATCCAAGAGTTTCATCACTTCCTTTTTGACCACTTCTTTCATAGTAGGATTTAGACGTCTCTGAGGTTGTGCAACCGGTTTGTAATCCACTTCCATATGGATTCTATGCATACAATAAGATGGACTGATCCCATGTAAATCAGTCAAAGTCCACCCTATTGCTCCTGCATTTTTCTTCAGCACCTCAATTAACTGTTGTTCTTCATTGGTTGATAGGATACTGCTAATTATAACCGGTTTCTGAACTTCATCCTCTAGAAACACATACTTTAAATGTGAAGGGAGTGGTTTTAATTCTAATTTCAGAACTTCATCTTTCTTCTCTTTAACCAGTTCCCCAATATGAGTTTGCTCGAATTCACCCTTCCGAGGTGTGTCCATCTCTGCTATACAAGTTTTGATCTGCTTGTCTTCTTCACTACTGTTTCCTTCTGTCTCCCCAATTAGAACCTTCTCCAATGGGCTTCTGCTACTCAAGTGAATATTATTGAGCATCAATAATTCATCAATAACATCCACTCGAAAACAATGTTGTTTGTCTTTCGGGTGCTGCATTGCTTCAAATACATTGAAGGTCACTTCCTGATCATGCACCCTTACCTTCAGTTTTCCATCATCAACATCAATAATGACCCTGGCAGTCTTCATGAAGGGTTTGCCCAAAATCAATTGGACCTCAGTGTCCTCTTCCATATCCATGATGACAAATTCAACAGGGAAAACTAATCCATCCACCTTCACTAGCACATCCTCAGCAACTCCGTAAGGATATTTCACCGATCTGTCAGCGAGTTGCAGAGTCATCCTAGTAGGCTTGATTTCTATCTCTCCAATCCTCTTCAGCATGGATAGAGGCATCAAGTTTTTGCTAGCACCTAAATCAAGTAGTGCATTTCCCACTGATAGTTCACCGATTGTAACTGGTATTGTGAAGCTGCCGGGATCTTTAGTCTTTTCGGGCAAAGATTTCTGGATTATAGCACTACATCCAGCTTCCAATGTCACTGTTTCTTCTGACAGTTTCCTCTTCTTAGTCAACAAATCCTTCATAAATTTTGCATAGGTGGGCATCTGTTCCATAGCCTCCATGAAAGAAATATTGATCTGTAGATTTTTGAATATACCCAAGAACCTAGTATACTGCCTTTCCTTATCCTTTTCGGAAGGTTTATTTGGATAAGGAAGATCTTTCAACTGAGGCAATTCACTCTTCCTCGTGGCATTTTTCTCCTTTATTACATCTTCAGTATTAGCCACTCCTTCCTCATTATCCACAACATCACCCCTTTCGGTTCCTGTAAATGCCTTCTGTCCTTCCTCAATTCCAGTTTCTCTCAAAACTTCTTCTTCTACCACTAGATTCTCACCAATACCCTTTCCAATAACTTTTCCACTTCTTGTAGTGATGGATTTGCAATGTTCTTTGGGGTTGGTCTGGGTATTAGCTGAGAACTGTTGTCGATCCGCATTCTGTTCTGCCATTTGCTTAGCCAACTGACCCACTTGATTCTCCAAATTCCTGATAGATGCATCTGTAATTTTATGATTAGATATGGAGATTTGCATGAATTTTTCCAGTGTCTCTTCCAATTTTGTCTGTCGTTCATGCAAAGGTGGATGTGTACCCTGCTGATATGATGGCTAGAATGGTGGCTGCCTATTTGATGACCCTGTTTCCTGCCGCCACCCATAATTCTGATTCTGAATTGGATTTCCCCTCCAACCTTGTGAGAACTGATTGTTGTATGGATGGTTGTTGGAGAAATTACCCTGTCGAGGTTGGTTAGTGACGTACTGAACTTCTTCCTCTGGTGTAGTGGTCTGTATTGAGCAATGACCAGTGGGATGTTCACCTCCACAAAACTCACATTGCAACATTTGTTGATGAATCAGAGGGTTCTGTATTGCATTAAGCTGTTGAGGCAGCTTAGACATTTGCTTGGTCAATTCTTCTATTTGTTGAGTCAAGATCTTGTTTTGTGCCAAGATTGCATCTGACGCTTGCAAATCGAATACTCCCCTCTTCTGTACTGACCTCCGACTGTGTTGAGCTTGCCTATCTATTGATGATAAGGCAGTTATGATTTTCGTGGCTTGTTCTGCATCCACCGCCATCATTGTTCCACCCGCTGCTGCATCTAGAATCATCTTAGTCTCAGGCTTTAATCCATTACAAAATATGTTCAACTGATCCACATCCTCAAAACCATGATTCGGGCATTTTATGAGTAACGCCTGAAAACGCTCCCAAGCTTCATAGAATGCTTCATCAGCTCCTTGCCTGAAGGTTGATATTTCAAACTTCGCATCTACTTACCAAGCTGGTGGAAAGAATCTTGTGAAGAACTTTGACTCCAGGTCATTCCAACTTGTCAAGCTCTGGGTTGGATGAGATTTCAACCACTCTCTAGCTTCACCCAACAGAGAGAATGGGAATAGCATCATAAGCAGCTTCTCGTTCAGCATCATTATAACCCATTGTGGCCACCAGTTCATAGAAATTGTCGAAATGTGCATAGGGGTCTTCATAGTCTTTCCCCGTAAACTGATGAGCACTGACCAGATTCAGATAGACAGGCTTTATCTCCACAATCCTATCCGTTTGTGGGATCATGATGCTTGAATAGTGCCTTGGCCCCTGATACATGGCATAATCGCCTAAAGTTCTCCTTGGAGGATTAGGCCTTGGGTTATTTCCAATAGCATTGTTCATATCTTCCATTTTGATTAACTGAGGCTCTGAGTCTTTGGGCTGTTCAGTGCTACACTGTACTTCCTCAATGCCTTGCTTCTTCTGTTCTCTAGCTTTCTTACGATTACTCTTTGCTGACTTCTCAATCTCAGGATTGTACTCTAATTGCTCGTCATTAGCTTTACCTCGCAAAAGCATAAATAAGAGAACTACGGCAAAGGTTAGCACAAGGATTAGCTATACAAAAAATAAAATAAAATTAAAGAATAACTATGTGCATCAATTTAAAGTTGTTCCCACAACTCCTATGATTTTTCCTAGCTTTCTCCCTAAATTTTGTGTGTCCCCCTTTGTTTTCTCCAAAAAATCCCCCCTTTTCTTCATCCTGGAACCACACATATCATTCCAAACTGCCACATTCTCGCCCAAGCGAGGGATTCTCGCTTGGGCGAGCAGTTAATGATGACACATGTGCAAGCGCCATGCTTAGGTCATTGGGCGCTGGTCTGAGCGCCAGATCCTCGCTTAGGCGCGGCTCTTGAGCATCGCTTGGGCGACAATCCGCGCTTGGGCGTGGATTCATCAGAATTCCTTAGCTCCAATCTTCTCCTTTCTTTTCTCCTTTTCTACTTATTTATTGACCTGAAATAACATAACACACGTAATCTAATAACAAATGAAATTTAGGTCAGGTTATAGGGAGTTATACGCAATTCATATCATTTCATACACTAAGTGCCCCAAAACTCATGCATATTTCATTAACAATTTGGCACTTATCACATACCCATATATATTTGTAAGGACTAAGTGATTTAACATTTATTACTTTGTTTCCGAGTTTTATTTCCATTGGCACTCCACCAATAAATAGACAATAAATGCATCCGACATCATTACAACATAGCATATATGCTTGTAACTACAAAGTGACTTACAGTTTATTGTTTTATCCGAGTTTTATTTCCATTGCCACACCACAAATAAATAGACAATAAATGCACCCGACATCATTACATCATAGCGTATATGCCTGTAACTACAAAGTGACTTATAGTTTATTGTTTTATCCGAGTTTCATTTCCATTGGCACTCCACCAATAAATAGAAAATAAATGCACCCGACATCATTACAACATATCTTGTATGATTGTAACTACAAAGTGACTTACAATTTATTGCTTTATTCCGAGTTTTATTTCCATTGGCACTCCACCAATACAAAAATGATAAATACACCCGACATCATTACAAACATATCCACATATGCTTATAACTACAAAGTGATTTACATTTCATGATTTCATTTCGAGTCTTCTTTCCATTGGTACTACACAAATACGTAAACCGTAAATTCACTTCTCGCCATTATCAACATACCCATATATATTCATAATGACTAAGTGATTCACATTTTATTCATTATCCATAACAGAAAAGCCACGCATTTTCCAACACAATGCATAAATTCAAGACTTATCCTTACCTCGGTGAGTGTTGGGTTTGGTTTTTGGCGACTTCGTAAGTTCCACCGGCACCGCCTCCAAATTTAGGATCTTTCCTCATTCCCACCACATAACACAATGTTAGTCATTCATTCCAAATAACAAATAAATAACTTATATTGCATTATTTAAACATACAAGATATTTATCATATTTTCAATGGTTCTATACTACTTTCATTATGAGTTTTCAACCATCTAAAACATACATATCATCTCATATTTTAACATTATAAAGCAACTCATCTTCCACCTTTAGCGTTTTACCCATTTTCCCTCTCTAACCACATTTTCTCACTCTACGGTTTTGGGGTTTCCATGAGTCAACCCACAAACCCTTTCCATTCTTGGAATACTAACTCAAAACCAAGAGTTTACAAGGTACAAGCGACATAAAATGAACCATAACTCGAAAGAGAGAGTTTCCATGGTTTTACACACTTTGAGAAGAGATCCATAATACCAAAAATGGGTTCTCAAGAGAAGAAGAGAGTTAGGATAGAGAGTTTTACCTCTTCTCAAGCTCTTGAACAAGAATCAAAGCTCCTAGACCTTGGGAATGCTCGCTTCTCTCACCTCTCTTCCATTCTTAACCTAAAAATGTATTTGGAGTTTCCCTCATTTAATGTTCTCGTCGGGTTCTCGCTTAAGCGAGCTTTCTCTCGCCCAAGCGAGAAAATCCCGCCCATTTTAAAAACGCAACTCTGACCCTCTCGCTCAAGCGAGGGATTCTCGCTCAAGCGAGAATCCTCTAGTATAGCCCAGGATTTCACCCTCCCAGGTGAACCTCTCTCGCCCATGCGAGAATCTCTCGCTCAAGCGAGGATCCCAGGACTGATACTATAATTTTAAAGACTTAAAATTTGGGGTGTTACATTGATTGTTATGAACATGTATGAGTGTGTTGTACAATGAATGTTTGATGAGTTATGAATGTGTTAAAATGGATATGAGTATGTTTCTCAAAATGAGTATGTTGTAAGTGGTTGATTGTTATAAACATGTATGGGTGTGTTGTAACAATGAATGTGTAATGAGATGTGAATGTGTTAAAATGGATAAAGGTGTGTTTGTGACAATGAAGGTGTTGTATGTTATTTATGGTGATAAAATAATGAGATGCCTTGTGTTGATTGTGTATGACATGGATGTGAGTGTAATGTGGAAACTCGACCTGTCTGATGTGGTATGGGGATTACTCGACCTTACCGATGTGGTATGGGGATTATTTGTACGGTCAAAATTGTTGAACGATATCAAGGGTAAATTACTACGGAATGTGAAGGATGTGAAAAGTGTATTCTGGGAATGAAAATCATATGCATGCCATAGGATATATATTATGGGATATATATCCTATAGTGTGAATATGAATGATGAGAAATGAGTATATTTGGACGAATAAAATATGCACACTATAGCACATATATAGTATGGGATGTATGTGTACTATAGGGTGAATATGGATAATATGTGATAAATAAATATGCACACTATAGAACACATATAGTATGGGATGTATGTGTACTATACGGTGAATATGGATAATATGTGATGAATAAGTATGCACACTATAAAACACATATAGTATGGGATATATGTGTACTATAGGGTGAATATGGATAATATGTGTTGATTGATATATGCTTATCATGATTGATGTTAAATGTGTGTGGTTTTAATACTTTAATGTTATTACTCCATGTAAAACCACGCTACGGTCGCCGTAGTTGGTTCTTACTCCCTCTGTATTTCCTTGTATGTGTTGTATATTTGGGTTCAGGTTGTGGAGGTAGCGCATTGGACGCTTGAGGAGAAGAGTACATGATAGAGTAGTGGATAATATGTAGTTGATATGTTATATGATAAATAATTGTAATATGAAGAACATGTTAAAGTGAATTCATGTATAAAAAACTTTCTTGTAAGTGTATAATGAAGTAGATCTAATGTTTGTATTCAAGGTACTTTTGAGAAAGTGTAATTGTATAAAGGATGTATTTGAACGGAAGTGTAATGACATGCTTTTGAAATGAAAGGTGTTTGGAATATTTTCGCCTTGTAAATTTATGAACGTATTCACTCAAGTTTCCAAACTGTTCGAGTAATGTCTTTCAAAAGTAATCAGTTCACTTTCACGAATAAGGATTTTAAAAAGAGAATTTTCGAGTTATGAAAATCGGGTCCTTACAATATGGTATCAGAGCATATGTCAACTATGCCACCTAGGGTATGACCTTACATGCTTCTTTGTGAAATTTGTGTGAATTAACTACTTGACTATGTGGTAATTGCTGATGTGAGAAATGATTATTAAATTTCCTGCGATAATCATGTGGGTTACATAACCTAGACTCAAAGTTAAGCAATATTCTTAGGACTTCTAAAAAGAAAAATAAAACCTTCCTAGAGTCAGAGTCTTGGTCATGTTGAATGTTGATGTGTCAAGTCTTCAAGCTTTTTAGGTCGACTTTGTCTTCACCGAAACATAGGCATGAAACAAATGTTGCAATTTCACTAGTACTTGTAATCTCAATCTCCCCCTTTTGATGATGACAAACCTTGAAACTGGTTGAGCATAGAAACAGCTTAATGACTGAATGGTGTTATGATTGTAGAGATAGAGTAATCAAATTTAGAGTAATCACATTTGCACAGCTCCCCCTCAGCTTAATCTCCCCCTCATTCCGTGCATGAGGAAAGTTGGGTATATGAGTATTCAAAACTCTCGCTTTCTTTTCGAGTTGGGAAAGCATTAGATAAACCTACAGTATACATCAAAATAACAACAACCAACTTTTCTCCCCCTTTTGGCATGATCAAAAAGGTCATTAACCGAACCAATTTTCCAAAGGTAGGAAAGATAACAGTTTAAAGATATATAGTTTTAAACTAATGCAGAGGGTCTATGTGTGAAAAATTGATTAAGGATAGCAGTTAATCAATTATCCACAGTAACAGAAAACTATGGAGAATTTTCTACAATATTTGTGCTAAACAGCAATAAGAGCACGATGTTATGCAACACACATAGAAATAATCTAACACATTCAGCATAAGTGTGACATAAAGGAAGTTATAGCAATAGTGGAATAACAACAACAGTTAAAGTA